TGTGTGTGTGTGTGTGTGTGTGTGTGTGTGTGTGTGTGTGTGTGTGTAAGTCGGGGGAAATAGGACGTGGGGAGTGTAGAGAGTGTTTAAGTTGAAAGGTCGGGGGTTAAAATAATATCTATATATGTATATATATATATTAGTGTTAGCAGGATGAGGTGGCAGTAGGCAAGATGATGGCAGGAAAAAGGAGAGTAAAAAATGAATGGAAGATGAGGGGAAGCAGAGGACAGGCAGCGAGCAGAAGAGGGAGAGGATAAAGCAGTAGGAGAATGGGGCGAGAGAACAGAGTGTGGGGAGAAGAGAGACAGAAAGGAAGAGTTAATGAATCACAGCATGGTCAAAGTGAGAAAGAGAAGCGATGGAGGGACATAGAGAGTGACAGACTGAGAGAGAGAGACAGACAGAGCTGAACAATGAAGGAGCCTGATGTTATGACATGAGAACAGAAATGACGCTCATCTGATCCGGCTGGCCTGCCAGATCGGATTCAAAACACCGCACATTGACACTTGAAGAGTTTCATTTCCAAACAAGACGTCCAGAAGCAGATTTCACAACATCCAAGTGTGGCAAGAAAGTTCCAGGAAGCGAGTGATGTTAGTACTTTAAGCGATGAGGCTGGAGATCTTTTGTATTTTTACTCATCAAATCCCATCAAAAGAACAGAATTACAGAAAGTGTTTTTGTGTGTAATAAAAGCGGATATACATTCACACTCTGCACCAGAGAGCTCTACTGGGTGACACCTTCCTTCACTAATGAACATGTCACTGTAGTATATTTTGACTCAATCCCACATAAACTGTTCTGCTGCAACAAATACTCACTAGAGCACCAAATGTGTATACATCCGCGACTGAAAATAGTCCCCCATTCCCTCCTATTTGAGTAAAGTTTGCTAAAAACTACAGTATGGAGCCGTTTGCTAATTGCTACGCCTCTCATAGATAATCTATAGCCGTGCTAGCAGCTCTGTGAGGCAGTGCTTTTTATTTTTAGCTAAATGCTAATATCAGAGCAACATTGCTCAGAGTGACAATGCTAACATGCTGACGTTTAGCAGTTACAATGCTGAGCGTGTTAGTAGGCCTGGCATAACTGGATAAACTTTATTATTATCATTTCAAGATCATTTCATGCTGCTGATAAAATTATGATATAATAGCATTTGAATGCATATACTCTTTAAGCAATACACATTTAATTCTTAACACTATTCAGATATTGGAATAGGAAAAAATTTCAAAATAAATGAAGCCACACAATGGCGATATGATATGATATAAGTCATTTCAACAAACAACCAAAACTAGTCTTCTTTTGTCTTTTCATGGGATTTGTTGACAGTAAAAAATAGAATAACACCAATTGTATCTGTATTGTTATACCTTTCTTTATCAAACATGACAGGTAACAATATAATTCCCAAAAAAGGACAGTGTTTTGAAATGAAACAGTTTCGCTGAATGGACACACAGAACTGTATCAGCCATGATGAACATAGAAGACAGCGTACACAGAGGACCGATGTTCTCCTGCATGTAGCGTTGCTGAGTGACTGTTGACCCATCAGACATCAGTACGAAATCACCTGCAGACTCTGATCAATTACATTATTTGACCACAATTCAGAGAAGAAAAAAAAGCTTGTCAAGAATGTTACAGCGGAGTAAAATCAGTCACTCCAACATCAGCGCACATGGCAGTTCTGCAGCAGCCTCTGCAGGACGTCTGCAGTTCAGAGGCAAGATAGATGCAGGAAGGGGACATCCTCATAGAGGAATCACAGGATTGTATATCAATGCCATTCATTGGGCATTGATATGTGATTGGTGCTCTTCGTGCTGAACGGTCTGAAGGGAGTGAGCATTGTGGAGATGCTGAGCCATCACACCGAATGATGGAGGGGAAATGTAACAAGTAGTGTGTGTGTGTGTGTTGCTGAGTCTCAGTGTTAGCTCTCAGGGCCTATTTTTATTTTGAAATAAAACAATACGCTATTCATATTTTGTCTGTATGGTGTGTGTGTACCTTTACAGGGGGGTGGACTGAATACCATGAACCATTATATTATTAGCTGTTCCTATTATTTTGTCCACTACCTGTATGTATGTGTGTACTTGGATGTGCGTTTGCTGTGTGCGGATGTTACATGTGCGTGTCAATGTTTTTTTTGCACACCACACACAGTCAGCACATATCAGTCAGGACCATGCATCGATCGACAGTCCACTGCTGTCACTCAGGTACCACCCTGCCCCCGCCCCTCCTCCTCCTCCTCCTCCTCCTCCTCCTCCCCCTTCAATCCTCCGCCTCCCCCCCTCCGCCCTCCTACCTTTCCGGACGTTCCCGTCCGTCGTGCGCTGGAACTCCCCGGCGCTGAGGAGGAAGCAGGCCCGGTCATGCGGGTAGCGCTCTCGGCTGGTGGTGGAGCCGAGGCCCCCCGTGGCCGGGCTGCGCTCGTCCCCGAGGACCTGGTCGATGGTGGGGCAGTCCTCGTTGGCCAGGGCCGCGTTGGCTGCAGCGTCGCCATTCGGCTTGGAACGGGGAAGAGGGGGGGAGGGGGGGGGGGGGGGGGGGGGGGGGGGGGGGTGTAGAGAAAGTGGTAGAGAAGTGGTAGAAAGTTGAGAAGAGAGGAGGCGACAGTAGAGGAAGGAGGGATATCGAGGGAGGGATATCGAGAGGGGTGCAAGGAAAGTTGTGGTGAGAGGGTTAAGGTAGAGAGGAGAGTAAACATGGACAGGACATGAAAGGAGGAAAGACGGGAGGAAAGGAGAGGGGAAGAGAGAGGGTGAGGGAGAGGAAAGGAGACATGAGAGGATGATAGAGGAGTGGAGAGAAGAGGAGAAAAAAGGAAATTATATGGAAAATATAAAATGAAAAAGAAAACAGAAGTCAGCATGTGAAAGAGATGTGAAAGAAAGAAAGAGGGGGGGAGTGAGAGTGAGGAAGAGGGTAGTTAAAGGAAGAGAAGATTAACGGTCCGGAGAGAAGGAGGAGGAGGAGTATGCATTAAGAGAAACAGGAAAAGGGAGATAAAGAATGCAGGTGGGAGGAGGACGAGGAGGAAGGATTTGGAGATGAGCAACAGAAGCGGGAAAAAAATGGGATATGAAAGAGGAGTGGTGAGAAGAAAAAGAAAAAAAGATGAGGAGATGAAAAGAAAATGAAAGAGGGTGAAGACAGGATGGAGAAACGACAGAAGATTGAAGGGGAGAGAAGAGGGAGGGAGGGGGAGAGGGGGTGTAAAAGAACGTTGGTGCCTTGTGATAGCTATCCTGATCACATGACCAACACACTGCAGCAAGAGCAGGCAGCAGACACACACACACACAGCATTTAACAGCACTGAATGAGAGGGACTAAACAAAGGAGTGGGACAAGATATATACTGTGCGCACACACACGCACACACACACACACACACACACACACACACTAAAGAGAAGATGGCTACAGGGGAAGCAATGTTTGTAGCCTTCAACACAGCTGTCAAATCTAATCTGATATGATTTACTGCTCAACAGTTACAGATACAAGCCAGAGGGGCGGATACACACACACACACACACACACAGAGGACACAAATGTCTCCACACAACAAACTGAAAGAGCCAGCTCCTACGACGTGTTGTCCGAGCACATCAGAAATCAAAAGTGTTTTTGTTTTGTCGTTCTGAACGGACGCAGTGAAAAACCGTCCGGTCATTATTAAGACAAGATAATAAATATGGGGAGAACGGAGCACGCCAGGCTGTTCACATGGAAGGTTCTGGACTCCTCCGGCTCTCCGTACCGGTTCATTGACGTTGATGTCAAAGATTCAATGTCGAAGTTCATAAAAGTTGAGCGGCGTGTGAGAGATTGTCAATGCTGAGATCACAGCAGGGAAAAAAATGTGATGATATTTTTAGTTGTGCCACTGATGCTGTTCAGGGAGACTTAAAGGACAAGTGTGTAGCATTTACTGTGGGGGGGGGGGGTGGTATGTTGTATGTCATAGCTATGCTTTTCTTTAGTGTATATTCACCTGTAAATATGAATGTACTTTGCTTGGAATGAGCCTCTTCAAAAAGTCTGTCGCGTTGCATGTTTCTTCAGTCGCCCAGAGCGGACAAACCAAACACGGGCTCTAGATAGGGCCTTTAGTAGATTTCATACGGCCATCATAGTTCTCCTACACAAGCCTGTTCTCATTTCCAGAACGTAAAATCTCTTTGTTCTAATAACGGCGCACAAGGCACCTTCAGCTTCTGTATGAGATTCACCAGGCTTTCAGTGTGAAGACCTCGTATAAAGACTGAAAGATCCCACACACAGTTAGCGGGTGGGTTCAAACAAACACGGGACTTTCAACCGAGTGACCGGATTCGTGTCCCAAAGTGTTGTTGAGTTATTTGTTAAGCTAGGTGTGTGATGTTTGCGACATGTTTTCAATACTTATGTTACATTGTTTATGTTTTACATAGTTTACGTAGTTATTTGAAGGCCAACCATGGTGTTTTTCTTAAACCTAAGAAAGGGCCCGTGTAAACATAGCGCCTTTTTCTGAGCGGAAGCGTCTTTTTTTCAATTGTTCCCAATGAGGACGGAGCGTATGCGGCCGCATGCAGCCTCCTGGAGAAAAAGGTGCTGCACCCAGCATCGTTTTTTCTGAGCACTGCGCCTTTTTTGGTGTGGCTGCTGAACTCTGTATTTCAGACAGACACTATCATAACAAAGCCCGAAAAGGCCATTTAGGAGGAGATCGGCTGGTCGGACACTGAATGCTACTGGCAAGTGTCGTGCTTTCTCTAATGTTACGGCTCATCTATACCAAGTATGAAGCAGACATTCTCTGCTTGGTGCTCATGGTGAAACATGTAAAACAAATACATCTTGATAATACAAAGCAAAGGAGCAATTCTAGTCTATCATACAACAGCGGTTAGAGTGGTGATTATGTTTTCAAGATATTGTCATAGAAACATTTAAAGAGCGTTCGGAGCGTTTCTTCGCTGAAACGCTGGGATGAACTAGAGAACTCTCGCATTAGAAAGTGACCCCAAGGGTTCTGAGAAGGCATCAGTTTGCAACGATTTGGAATGAAAACATGTTGCCGACACACTCAGCACACAGGAAAGGTTTCAGTTGGTTGCAATCTGCAACCTCTCTGTTGGGTTCTGCCAAATCTTACACACTGAACCTTTCATGGGCTCAATTGCATTTTGCATATTTTTTTGTGCTAATTTCTAAAGATGTGCAAAATCAAGGAAAGAAGATATGATATTCCTGATTGGTATGGTATACTGATTACATGTCAGCTTACCGTCAAACACTGGTGGCAAGCCAGTCTCAAGGCTATACATAATAATAAACCTAAAGTCCGGTAATGGGACACATTGCAACTCCACCACTAGCAACAACACACACACACACACACACTTGTGTATCGTCTTAGATGATGGACATGTCAATTAAATCAGCAAAGCAGAAATGAGATGACCCGGATCAATGTTTCGGCATAAAATACTGTATATCTATATAAACCCATTCCAGGATCATCTGAACACGTCAGCCTCGATGCTACAGCATTTGGCCATGAGAGGGAGGAGATGGATTTGTCGAGTGAAAGTCATAAGCTTTTCTTCAGCTTTCCCGTCCCATCGTAAATGAAAATCTATTTTAGTGTCCTCCTCTCTAGGAAGAAAGAGGACATCAGCAAGTTATTTACAGCTTCAAAACCTATTAGATACGCACTTTTCCCATTAATTCAGTGCTTGAAATCTGACCTCTGGTCATCAGTTAGATGAGAAAATCAGAAATGTTTTATACAGTTTTATATAATTGTTTTTCTCAGGGCCACTCGAGTGATTCACTTTAGAATTTGGAACACCATAAGTAATGAAGTGAAGAGGAAAATACGATACATGTCTGATAGAGAAACAAATCCTTTCTCTACCAAGGCATAGCATGTGCAAAACAACATCCAGGCCACAAACACACCAACATGTCCCATATCCTCGACTGCTCAACCACAGTGTTTCAGCACTTTCAATTCAAATTCAAGCCTTCTTAGTCACTTTCCCAGCGAAAATCACTCTTAATGTCGGTGTTTTGGGGCAAGATGTGATATTGCTTCAACTTAGATACATGATTCAGAGGTTTCTATTTTATTGACACGGTTTTTAAATGAGTGTTTGAACAATTATCCAATTGAATCCAAAACAGATTAAAAAGGGCAACTATGATGATATTTGATTATTAAGTCGATTAAGTCGAAAATATAGCAGAAAAAACTTTTGTCTATAATGTGTTTCTAGCTTCTCAAATGTTGATGACTTGCAGTTTTTCTCTGTTAATTTCATTGTTAACTGTATACATTTGGGTTTTTAAGGCAAACGCTATTTGAAGATGTGACCTCAGGGATTGATCAAAGGCCTTTTTCACTCTTTTATGGCAATTTATAGGCTAAACAAAAGGGCTGTGCAGTTAATTGAATTCAAATTTTAATTACAATTTTGACTTCCAAGAACAAAGTTCTTGATAGATCTAGGCTCTTAGTTTTGCTCCTTAAAGTGCACCAGGCGTATGCGTTTAACTCAACTTCTGCAAAATGTTCTTTCTGAATGCACGATGTTTCCAAAGTCAATGTTAAACAATCGTGATCTCAATATTGGTCGAAGTAATCATGATTATGATTTTTGCCATAATCGTGCAACCCTAATGAATGAGTAATCGATCGATCTAAAACAAATAAGCAACAGTTTAACAGATAATCACACATCTCCATCACAAGGTTTTATCTGAGGACAAAGAGAGATACCTGAGGGCATCATAGTTGTACTAATGGTGAAAGATTTGCATAGATTTGCTTTGTCAGCAGATGCGCTGTTTGTATAATTCCATTGACATGCATTTATTTCACTAAATTCACTCACTAAACTGTGCTCTTGTGCTGGGTTTTTACATTTGGAGGCTGAACTTGATGATTTTCATTTTGGAAAACTTTACAAGGTTTGATTTTTTTAAATCGATAAAATCGGACCCCCAAGGCCCATTGGAACTCTCCCATGCACACATAATCTCAGTTCTGGTCAATCACTCACCTGCCCTGTTGATCTCGATGATCTCTTCCTGTGCCAGTGGGCAGTCTCCAGTGCCCATCATGCTGCCAGATCCCACCATGCCCGGCCCGAGCACATTGCCCATCAGTCTGTGCGGCGAGGCGGTCGCCATGGCCAGGGCATCTGGCTTGCAGTAGTTAGGGCTGCCGGGCTGTGGCGCTCGGGGGATGTGCTTGTTCCTCTTCTTGGGGAGCTTCTGCTTGGCCATGGCCAGGGAGTAGTACATGCCGAAGTTGTTGACAATGACGGGCACAGGCATGGCGATGGTCAGCACACCGGCCAAGGCGCAGAGGGCACCCACCAGCATTCCTGACCATGTTTCAGGGTACATATCCCCGTAGCCCAGCGTGGTCATGGTCACCACAGCCCACCAGAACCCGATGGGGATGTTCTTGAAGTTGGTGTGGGCCGCAGCTGTTGGATCGTCGGGGTCTGCACCGATGCGTTCGGCATAATAGATCATAGTAGCAAAGATGAGGACGCCCAGCGCAAGGAAGATGATGAGCAGCAGGAACTCATTGGTGCTTGCCCGCAGAGTGTGGCCCAGGACCCGTAAACCGACAAAGTGGCGGGTCAGCTTGAATATACGCAGGATACGGACAAAGCGCACTACGCGCAGGAAGCTCAGCGCGTCTTTGGCTGTTTTGGAGGAGAGGCCACTCAGCGCCACCTCCAGGTAAAAGGGCACGATGGCCACAAAGTCTATGATGTTGAGGGTGCAGCGGAAGAACTCTGCCTTGTCAGGGCAGAAGACGACACGTGCCATCACCTCGATGGTGAACCAAATGACGCAGACGCCCTCCACATATGTCAGCCAGCCATCTGTGACTACCTCGTACACTATCTGCAAGGTAGAAGAAAAAAATCAAGGGTTAGTTGATTCTATGGAGAGTTTACTCAATTATTTATTCATTCATTACACAGTATATGCCCAGAGGCAGAACACCATGTCCTTCAAAAGTTGAATATTCCGTAGCAATACGTCTTTTCTATGTAGGTGCATAGAAAAATAGGAAACACATAACTCATATTAGGGTGATCCTAACTAACCTCTAGCCAACCCCCTTCCGCCACAAATCACCTTCAAAACTACCTCCGTATCAATCTAAACAACACTAAAAGTAGCAACAATTCAGTTCTTGTCCTTTTCAATATTGAGTCCAGTTGCAAAATCCTGAGAAACAAAAGACAATTCAAACCCAGTGCATGGCCTTCTAACAACAAAGGTATGTCTCATTACCGGGGCAATGCATCGATTTTACACAAAAATGTGAGTTTACTGATTATGAGCAGTTAGCGTAAGGGTTTGAGCTTCACGACACATGTATGGGTGTGGGCTTTTACCTTGAAGGGAGGGTCTTACGATAGGATGCTCATACCTGCCAACCTTGAGACCTCAAAAGTAAGGAGGATTTTTGCAAACCAAAGCAGGGGGTCGCGGCTCAACACTGAGCTCTGAGACCCATGATTTCCAACGGCTCGTTCCGCACCATGACAGCTTTTCACTGCATCTTTTTCACTGTGATGTGCGCTGAACCCAGGCGGCAAGCGAAGCTCAAACCATTTTGTGTCAAAAGCAGCTCTTCGCCACCGGGAAACACAATTTAGCGTCGCTGTATTGTTGTCCTGGCGGAAGCAGTGGTGTTGAGACAAGTTGCAATAACGTAAAGGAAAAAAAAGGTGTGAAATGTTGTCATTATTAGGGAGACCCTGGGTGGAAACAGGGACAGGGCAATGAAAAACAGGAATCTCCAGAAAAAAAAAAACTATCCGGATATCTCAGAGCTGCTTCATTTTTTTGGTCATTCATTCTTGAATCTGTGCCTCACGAATCTCCCAACATTATAGAACATAAAAGATGTGTCATAATATAGTCACATTAACATGTCTAATACTAAAGAACACTTCACTTAAACTTCACCGTACCTCCTCATGCGTCACGTTGCCGACAGTGACATTCTCTGTTTTGTTGTAGATGGTGTTGAAGGCTTCGTGGGTCTCCAGGCAGAAGGTGGAAATGGAGAGGAGGATGAAGAAGAGCGAGCCAAACGCCACATACTGCAGAGAGAGAAACAGAATGAGGGGGGAGGGGTTAACATTTTTTACAGTTTGCACATCAACCATACATTCTTTCCTTTTATTCAAGTTGCAGTACAGGAAGCTGTCACATCTGCACGCCGACACTTTTCTGGCCAGTTTAAGCCTTTGTCGTTAGTACTTTGGTGTTTATGTGATTGCTTGTGGGGGGAGGGGGGGTTGGGCCATTGCGGTATGTGGAAAGAAGTGGTCATGCCAACAGGCTGCAGACAGGGGGCACCAACAACACACTGAGGAGAGGGGAGGAATGTTGTTAATTCACTGCAAATGTCCTGACTGCTGCAATCCCATTGATAACAGCACAGTCCGAGACATAGAGGGAGGGAGGGAGGGATGATGGATGGAGAGAGTAAAAGTAATGAGGTACACAGGGTAGCTCTTTGTGTGTGTGTGTGTGTGTGTGTGTTTGAAAGAGTGAAAGTGAAGAAGTAGATACACAGTGTATGGTAAGAGAAAATAAGTGGGAACATGAACAATGGAGGAATAAGGAGATGAATGCGTTACTGTGAGCACCGTTATAAAAGCACACGGCGTGTATCGTAGATCGTATGTAGCGACGGCACACGTCGTTTTTCTATCAGCATAGGATCAATGATTATTTGTCGTAGACCACCGACACACACACACTCCATCAACCGTGCAACTGGCGAATCATTCATGTATTTTATGTAGCGTATTATCAGCCATTTTCTGTACAGTGCTCACGCGTGTGAAATGAGATTTCCTTTTCTCTGCAGCATCCCCCTACCCCCTACTATTCCTTGCCTTCCCATCTCTCTCTCTCTCTCTCTCTCTCTCTCTCTCTCTCTCTCTCTCTGTTTCTCCCCCCTCCACCTTCCTATCCCTCCCTCTCTCTCTCTCTCTCTCGCCCTGTGCTCTATGCATTGGGCTGCCTAGATGTGTCGTGGGGTCCTCCCAGTGTGTGCGGAGCAGCAGTCGTCTTCCTAAACGCCAGGTTGGCCGTCAAGGTCTGTTCTCAAGGACTCGTAACATCATTCCGGCTCGTTTTCTAAACTCCTTTTCTTCCTTTTTAACCCTGACGTTGGTTCTTCCTGCCTCACAAGCGTGCAGATACTGAGCTGCCTAGATTCTGACCACATCTATAATTTACTGTCAGTAGATATTTAGCATCTTCCGAAACTTTGGAGGAAAGGCTAATCGGATGTGACAAGAAGCAGCCAATCGAAGACCGTCTGTGAGGCATATTTATGAAAACACAAACTCGACACGTTAGTCCTTATAGAGTCCATGTGGCTAACATGTGAGCTGTCAGTTGATGATTACATATCCAGCAGACACAGACGCTGTGTTCAAAATGTCCTACTACCATACTATTCAATACAATGTATGAAGTAAAAATGAGTGATTAGTGGGTTCACACTGCATAGACTGTGGATTTTGTGTATGCAAGAAATGCCCTGATGTACACTACGTTATTAAGAACTTCTGAGCGTGCACATGAGCTTGCTAGCATGCACATCAACTCCCCACAATGCTAACAGTTTAAGCTTGCTGAAATTGCCCGAAACCATTTAAGTACAATCCCCTGAGCTCAACAATAACAGCTGCCACATCACCCCCATGCAACAACAGCGCCGTTGTGAACGCTATGACTGCCTTAAGGCGCCTTGAGACTTGTGAGATCTTTGTGTCAAGTTCTTAATATGTCACTTTATATTTCAGACGAAAAAGTAAGCATTTACATTACAAGTAAAATCAAGCTGAACTGTTCATTTAGTAGGCAGTATGCAGTACATACTGACTGGCTGTGTCGTATACAGTATGTTAATATGCAATGAGTTTGTGTCCATGAAATCCAATTGACTCTTCTTTCAGCTCTGTTTTTGGTCTCCTCCAACTCCTGAGGAACAAACTAAATGAAATGAAACTTAGATTAGATTCGCCACTAAGGTGATCTATAGAGCTGAGATGGGTTGCAAAGGCAGTTGATCATTTTCTGTGGGTTTGTAACCACATGTGATGCCTTTCACACTTCTTTCAGAATTTTGTGAAAAAAATGTATTATTCTAATTTAGAAGTTGCTTACCACCGGAAAAATTGACAGTCTATATATATTATAAACAGTATGTTATATATATATATCAAATGACGTTGGTGTGACACATTTGGTTAAGTTCCAGGCCATGTTTTGGGTTAATGAGTCAGTTCCCTCAAAGTATACACACACACACACACACCCTGGTATCGAGTCCTGCTAATACTCCAATACAATACATAAACGTGGATGGAATGTTGACAAATTCAATTTGCAAAACTTTTGATTGATTGATTGATTATTAACCTGGATACGACCTCACTGTAGACACACATTCTTCCTTTCTACTGAAGAAATAGTCTCTATATGGAAACTGCTGTGAGCGCCAAATAATATTTCATTCTCCTCCATGGAATTAGGGGAGACGCGGAGAATTCAGAGACAGCTATCTCAAAAGCTGGATGCATAAAGCCAGAGCAAATGGAGGTAGTGAGCGGAGGGGTATTAAGTTGGTTGCAAACCTTAACCACGGCGCTAGATACCACTGTCCTGGTGGTGCATTTGATAGTTTAGCTTGTTTGATGACCTAAGACTGCAGCTAAGTAGAAAAGAGAGAGAGACATTCAACTAAGGGTGCTGATTGATTATTAAAGGGACAGTGTAAAGATGCTGTCTGTGCTCTCTTTTACTTGTTTTGCTTCAGACTCTGGTAGCTTAATTAAGTGCCAGCTGAAGTCTGTTCAGGTGCAAGATTTGGTCTGATTTTGTCATATTTCTTAGATAGAAAAACTGTGGTCTCAGTGACACATCCAATGTGCTTTCTTTAAATTCAATACATATATAAAGATATTTAAGATTTTGGGCTCCAATTGAACCGGATTTAGGCCCCCATAACATTCTAACATTTTGTCTGTTAAACAATTGTGTGTCGTCTGCATAGCTATAAACTGTCATACCATTGTTGGATATTTTGGTCAAGTGGGAGCATCTACAACGAGAATTGACCTGATAAATTGGAGATTTTGTCAGAGCAAGGAAAAGAATGGATGGAACTAATAACATTAATGATGGCTCTGGCGCATCATTGATATTATTAATTACACTGTAGTTACAACCAAATTCAATAACTCACATAAGACGATGTAAAACCAGTCAAGTGTATGAATATGTAAGTATGCCTTCAAGTGTGTGTGTGTGTGTGTGTGTGTGTGTGTGTGTGTGTGTGTGTGTCAGGTCAGTGATGAAGACAGACAGAAGAAGTCTTTCTCTAATCCTAAGGGAACTCATCAAGTCCCACAGCTTATTATCATGGTCTAATTTAACACTGCTATCTAGAGCTGCCCTGGATACACACAAACACACATCACACGCACACACACAGGCGTTCCTGAGCATTTTCAGGGTGCTGGAGAGTTATTAAAAGCAGATGCAGAAGGAAACACGGCATTAAACATCCCCCCGTTTGATTTTACAACTTGCCTCGGCAAGCTATTTTTTTAACTGGATGCTGGATTTGAAAAAAATCTCAATGCATTTTTGGTGAACTGCTGCGTCTCGCACATGTGTTGTGTCCACGCAGACCGCACTACTGCGTTGCTGCTGCTGCGTTGCTGCTGCTGCGTTGCTGCTGCTGCGTTGATGGCCAGCCCGATGAGTTTCTACATTGACTTTCCTTTTGATAATGGCCGTACATAATAGAAGGCTTCATTTCATTATAAATGTTAGTTATATCAAATTAGTATGAAAAAGATTAGAATCATGTGCTCAGAGTAAGAAAGAGAGAGTGTATCAGACCAATATTGACCTTCATGTGATGTTATTTTAACTTAATAACCCTATCTGGGTTTCTGTTTCCACTCACTCCACTAATGTATGGATCCATGCTAGTCACTGCATTTTCCACGGGTCTTACAAATATTTCACAATAAAAGCGTTAAAAAAAGAAAGGCTTCTCTACACAGAAAAGCTAGAGGGCTTTTCATTTTAAATGGAAACAGGAAGTGTTGAGGTAAAAGTAACATTTTTTCATGTCTGTGACATTTTATATAGACACCGAAACTGCAACCAAGAGAGAGATTGTAGAGCAAGCCATTCAATAGTTGTGGAGATTCTACACTCAATACCCTAACTGTCTGTCTCAAGGTGGCGAGGAACATCACGTTGATATCTATACAGTGTCATGGCAATCCACTCGATGTATTGTTGTTGAGATAGCTCAGTGTGGTACCAAGTGGTGAACTGATCGACCCAATAACCGACCAATTTGATCATTTCTAGAGCCATGCTGTTTATGTGACTAGAAACACATCTTCTGTTCTGTCCTTTAGGATTAAATGTGTGTTGTTGGGTAATCAGAGAGGGTAAATACCCTTAATCAGAAGATGTCCACTAGACAATTGGACTTTTGTCGTTTTCTGTAATTGTTTATTTTCTCTTCAAACATAGCATATCAAACTATACAGGTCTTTTCTGTGACACACAGTACAGTAGTTTTCTATTTTTGTTGTCAGATGACAATCTGCATTTGAGATCTTTCAGTGGGAAACCCACTACCAGCCAAATAGTGGTGAGTCACTCTGCTCTGCCAGACACTTTGGCAGGTAATCAGACATCATTTGGAGTCATAGTCAGCTTGCTTTATAACGTGATTGTCTAACTGGTTGATATGAGGGCTTTGGCTACCACTGTGGCCAGCAGAGGGTTAAAAAAGGTTTGACTCCGTAGTTTTGCACATGACGATTGACACATGGATTTTCCCAGTGAAGATGATGCACCATTAATACTATTTTACAACTAGAATGAAATAAACAATTGTATCTCAATCAAGTGTCTGTATCACAAAGCAACACGAATCAGCTAACTTGTTGAGTCATTATTCCTAAGTGATGAAAAGTAAAGAACAGCAGGAACATTTTCATGGATCAAGAGAATCATTTTGCTTTCTCTGATAATTATGTCAGAGATT